GTTTCACTTGTTAGTCGCCCTTCATTTTCAGTGACAGGACTGGAGTAACTTCAATATAGTAAGGTCAGCGATTAGTCTGAATAACTCAACTTATGAAAAACAAGCTTCTCTAAATAAAGTTTCTCTTCAAGCAAAATCTTGTTTTGTTTTCATCAGTCGAATGCTGAGTTAGCTCAGAGCCAGGCTTTAGTTTGAAAACCTTTCAAAGGCACCATATATACTGCTATGAAAAAAGAAAAAACACTCGAGAAACAAACGTCCCAATTTGGAACATATGTATTGGGTTTTCGATACCCTCGCATTCATCTGTTTTACATATTTTTTTAAAACTAGGACTAAGCTAAGCCAAGTTTTTAAAACAAAAAATTCCTCTTTGAGACATGAAATATTTTGCAATTACTTAATCTGAAGGAGAAAAATCTTTAAAAGGTATGAACAGTCAACTTAGCTCGTTTTCTTGAGAAGGTAACACCTTAGCTTTGCTAATAATAATCGATAACTTTTACTTTTGTTTGGTTTAATTAAAGCGTAAGATACAGGAGCCTCTGAACAAATCGATGGGTGGTGTAATTGCTTGACGGCTTTCAAAGGATAGACGTGTGTGTGTGTGTATGTGTGTGGAAGACAAACTGACATAATTTGATGCAGTCTTAAAATTCAAGAGCATTACGAGTGCATGTGACCATCACTCCTTTGCTTTACCGCTGGGTAAACACATCTCAAAAGGTTTGGTAGAATACAGTCACGTATATGTGCACGATCCTTCGCAGTAAAGCACTATTTAAGCAATAGTGAAAAAAAAAAAAGACAGTCAGTTGTGTAAGATTGCCAGATATTTTTATTCTTAATGTTTATTCTCCTTTGACTTATCAAAACAAAGAGATAACGAGAGAAAGAATCGATCTTTTTCACTTGACTTATTATTTTACATCTACGATCGGCTGCACGACCAAAAATAAAGGGTGAAAGTTTCTAAAGAAACTGTGGTGCTGCGTCGGTGGGGGTAACAAGGTAATCTGGTTGTATCAACTAAGTTGAAATTGTAAATTAGCCACCCTAACGGGTTAAAAGCTGACGTTTCGAGCGTTAGCCCTTCATCAGAGCGAAATGACAGCTTTTTAACTCGTTATGGTGGCCAATTTACAATGTCAACTTAGTTGATATAACCAAGTTGCATGACCAAAAGTTTGAGATACAGAAATTTGGTATTGCAAATTGAAATAAAGATAAGCGACTGGTTAATAATCATCTGTTGCTGTTACACACTTAAATTTCATAAATGAGTCTGTCATTTTTTTCGCAGATAGTTCCATCGTTTCAAGAAAACAGACTAATCGTAGCTCAACTCGTTTTTCTCGGAAAGCAAAGCAATTCTTCCAGTTAAAGAGAAATCAACTTCTATACATATTTCAAGTTGCAAAGTAGGTTCATTCTTGCCGCCTTATTTAAAGCTGAGTAACTACAAACAGATGTGTTCTGAGCAGCGATTGCAAAATAAATAAAGT